GACTTGGATAATGAATGGGCTGAAATCCAATGAGGTAGTTTGCTTTCCCTCTTTGGATATGATTTTTTATTTAGCTGGTAATTAAAAATCACACTTTTCATATGCAGCCCAGAAGGCTCAAAAGAGCATCATTATAATTAGTCTTTTTCTACCCAAGGACAACCCAATATTTTCACACTGATAACAAGGTGATTTTTTTTTTTAGGTTGACCCTCCAGTCAATTATTCTATGAAGTAAATTAGGATTAGGAAGTAATAGATGTGTATTTGAGACCATGTTTATAAGGAAAGAGTTTCAAGTGATATACGATAAGTAATATTCCTAGTCTAGTGAAAAGGAGTAGGGGTGACATAATAGCAGAGTTCTGATATTTGATGGGCTGCCACAAAGAAGGGGGGGTCAACCTATTTTTCAAAGCACCAGAAGGCAAGACAAGAAACAGAGTGTGGAAACTAATCAAGGAGAGAAGCAACCTAGAACTAAGGAGACATTTCCTAACAGTGAGAACAATTAACCAGTGGGATGGCTTGACTTCAGAAGCTGTGGGTCCTTCATCATTGGGAGTTTTTAAGAAGAGATTGGACAGCCATTTGTCTGAAATTATATAGGGTCTCCTGCTTGAACAAGGGATTGAACTAGAAAACCTCCAAGGTCCCTTCCAGCTCTGTTATTCTGTTATCTGGCATTCCAAATGCAGCCCAAATGCTTAGAATGGACATAATTAACTTTAGGGCCTGGATGAGGGTTTGTATGTTTTGGCTAAAGTTGAATTTTTCATCACTAGCTTGGTCCCTTTAACTCCTCCTGCTCCTTTCCGTACATCCCGGAAATGAAATGAGATTAGGGGTAAAATGCTAAAGACTGGACTTTTCCTCTAGATTCTGGGGTGGGAGGGAGAGATGATCAACAAAGAGGGACACTGAAACAGGGATTTACTGAAATAGTACAAAGGAAGATGAAGGTGGCATTTCTTCAAGTGTAATAACCAAAACTTCAGTGCAGTCAGTCTAACTAAACTGGTTACATATTACCTGCTTCCTGAGCTCCAGAGTTTCAGCACAAGTTCAAAGTACAATGAAGAGAAGATGGTTGGAAAGAGATCATCTCAGTTTGTGTTTGGACACTGATAGGGAGATTCTACTTCCTTCGAACCTCCCTCCCTCCCTTTCTTCCCCATTTTAGTAGAATGTGAAGAAAAGTGAAACCAGACCCTTTGGGGAAATTGACTTTGCCCAATTCCCCATCTTTAATACTTTAATAATATCTTGGTCTAGACAGCAAATCAGATGTAAAACCTAACCATCCCCCCCCCCCCAATTATCTGAGTGAATAATAAAGGGACAGTCTAGTTTTAATCATTGTGACTTTGAATAAATGGATTACATAGCAGAAATACTTTTCCTTTTGGAAAAGTGGAATTCTATGTATGCATGCTGCTTATTACAGGGTCAACTTATCAGATGCTTTAAATGAAATAGTTGTGCCATTTCACAAACCAGAGATTTGTCACACCTGTCTTAGTTGGTATCTTAGCCAATGACTTCCTATTATACTGATCTCTTCTGTGGCAGGATCCCGACATAGACATGGAACAATGGGTGGAGAGCAGGAAATGCTGTATGAGAAACAGGATTTCATGTCAGTGCTGAGCTGTCTGTAAGGGCCTCCAGGCATTCCTCCATCCTGCCTGCCTGAACCCCAGCCAATTTTTTTTTCCTGACAGAGCCCCAGCCCTTCATGTTGTACTCAGGCCATTTCCACTTTTAATCAATTTCCTGTCCTGCCCAGTTTTCTTTTGTGGCCATGCCGAGACTCTCCAGTTAGGCTTCCAAGTCAGCATGGAAGAAGCAACAGGATTATATTCGCCCGATAGCTACATGTGGCGATAAACACAAGCTAAAATGTGGCTAGGCCTTTGGGTGCCAATGTGAACTCTTGAATGAATGAAGTTTCTGGAATTAAAAAGAAAAATCTAATTTCTGTGACTACCTAAGTGGAGTTTTTCCTGTTACTCTGCTGAGTTCCTTCAAACTGAAGAACTATGGATTTATTCTGGTTGATCTAGTGACAATTTCCTTGTAACTGTTTTACTTATGGTGAAGAATGGAGGATTCAAGAACAACAAGCTTAAAAGATACATACAGCAATTGAGAAATAACAGAAATAATTCTTAATACTACTACTTCTTCTGAAATAGTGATGTTTCAATTCTCCTGACATTGAGCCCGTTTCTGAAAATGAGATTGGATACAATTGGCCTTCTCAGCTTCTTCTGGCACCTGACAGGTAAAATCTCTTTTAATTATTTTTACAATGGTTCACCCCTTGCCCCCAACTCACTAGTTTGAAATGTGCAGCTATACAAATTACACAAATGAATAAACAAACAATTTTCCTATATCTTACCTAACTATGTCTTACCTGTCATCCACATTTCTATGTCAACTATTATATCAAAGAACCAAAGTGAACTGGGTAGCTCACAAGCTGGGTTAAAAAAAATCATGAAATGAAAAAAAGGAATAAAATGGAATGCAAAAATTAAAACAAATCAATTCAAACTGAAGCAAATGTTATAAAATGCATGCAGTATAGGGTCCTTAAAACATTGTTTAAAAATGAACAATAAAATACTGAGGAATAGAAAAAAATATTTGAACTGTCACTCCAATGGCCAAACCTTGGACACTATGAGTCGTTAATCTAGTCCAGTGGAGAAAGACTATCATCACTGGAGTCCATATTGAAAGTAATACCCAACACCTTTTCTTTGTTATCAGAATCAAAGAGACGGCAACCCAAAAGAGATCCTAGAAATAGTGGGGGGAGGGGTTAACCCCCACCAAACTCCTTATAGCCAGGGGCACAGAGAACAGAACTTTCTGATACTTCTTTTGAAAAATGACATTTCTAGGTAGAACAAGTCATGTGTGCATTTTCTTCTTTATATTTCACAGTTAGCTAGACCAATAGCATCTGCCAGTCTAGTTTGAAAGCTGGGGGATAACAGTGAAAATAATCAACAGAGCAGACAGAACCATGTTAACCCATGGTGGCAAAAAACCAGAAGGCTCGGCATGGCTCTGCTTCACTGTTTTGGATTAACAGATATTGTGAAAAAAAATGTGGCTCACTTTATCACATGCAGAAGTCTGTGCCCCTTAATAAAATGTGTTACTTAGAAAAGTAATTTTGAAAGGTGCAGTGAAACAGACAAATCACTTTATGTCCTCTTGTGTTGCGTTGCTTTTATTTATATCTAGATGTTGAAGCCACTATCAAACATGTAATCAGCAGCTTCTCACTTTGGAAGATACTCAGTCTTGCTTAGCCAACCCAGGAAAGTGCTACCTTTCCTGAGCCATATATGCAGGCTCTGAGTACCTTGCTGAAGGCAAAATTCCACCAAAGATTGTGACCCGTATTAAGAAATGAAGAGACTAAAAAATAAATCTGCCTTAATTTTTATTGAAATTTTAATATAACTGATATAACTGATATAATCAGCTTCTATGTATTTTACAAAATATTCCTTCTATCTACATTTAGTATTAAAACTTAGTGGCAATTTCTAGCAGTAGGCCTGGGGCTCCACCCAAAACTTTAGGTCTTAAGATGGATAAGGTTCTGATGAGGACTCAACAGGAAACTAGTAGCTGGATTTGGGATTTAAACTTTTTCTAAAAAAAAAATCTTACTAATTTTTACTAATAAGAAAAATAGGAGCTTGAAGAATTTTATCAGAAAGAGTATGTGTGGGTGTGTGTAAGAGGGGAGTGGAAGAATGCAATATATATTGTTGCCAATGCTGTTTGAACAACGAATATAAAGGGCCCATAATTTATTTTTTAGTTTTTAGTTTTTTTAGTTTTATTAGAATTTGTAGGCCGCCCTTTTCCCTGGGGGGACTCAGGGCGGCTCACATAAAACTGGGAAGGGGGGAACACAAACATCAAGATAGAAGACATATAATAAAATAGTAGGCAACATACATTCATCATTCGGGAGGGGTAACTATCCTTACCCCCAGGCCTTACGGGCGAGCCAGTTCTTCAAGGCTATGCGGAAGGCTTGGACGGTGGAGAGGGTACGAATCTCCAGGGGGAGCTCGTTCCAAAG